AAATGCATATCGGGTAAATAACGGGTCAATAAAGGTATATCCCGTTATTTAACCATTATTCGTACATTCGACCTGTGTAAACTTTAGGTTCTAATAACTTTTTATATTTATAACAAAAATAAAAATCTGTCTTATAGAATTGTAGCTTAGACTAAAAGCAACAAATTTGTAAAACAGATTTTTTTTAAAGTTATTTGTTCATAAGTTATAAGCATTTTTATATTTATATATAAAAAGTGAATATTCTTGCTATCCGGTACTGTACTATCTTAGCATATAACATGTAGACATACTTCGCTTTAACTGACCTCTCCAATAGCAATTAGCAAATATGTCCTTTAATTTATTGGCAAATGTATTAATTAAGAGATCAACATCAGTTTATATGTCTAATTTCTTATAGATTATAAAAAATTATAAACTTTACCCTTATGCTTGTACTTTTATAATTCAAGATATTTTGCTATATCATGATAAGTTGAATAGACCTCTGTTTCTTTTCTCACAAATTATTTCATTTTTTACATTATAGCATCTTTATTTAAAGTAATCTAATTTTTTTGAACTGATCTTATTTTTCTGGAGTATAATTAAAGTTAATCGGTTAAACCTCAATTTAATTAAACTCCAGAAAATACAAATTTGTCAATCATTAAAAAATTTGTCCCTTAATTTGTGAGCAAGTGTCTCAAATAGAGGATCTACTCTTATTTTTATACACATTTTCAATAGAAAATCATCATAAAAGCAAACTTTACACTTATAGCAGCTCCCTTTTGACATAAAATATACCATGTACCTTACTAAGTATAATGGAACTCTGTATTTTCTTCTTACAAGCTACTTTGTTTTATATGCTGTGGCACTTCTAGTTTTAAAAAAATCTTGAGTCAAAGTTGCTAAATTTTTGAAATATATATTAGCAATATCTTAAGAAAATAACTTTTTTTTAAAAAAAAAACAAATTTTATTTTTAAAAATGATATCCCTAAACTATAATATTTATATTTATTAATGTATCTTTTTTTTTTTTGAATGACAATTGAATAAGTAATAGCAGTGATAGAACTTATATAACAATAGCTTATAACGATAGTGATAATTCATATTGCTAGTTATCTTTTTTTTTTTTTTTTCATAAAATCCTTTCTTTTTTTTTTTTAACAATAAATTTAAGCCAACCAAAAACTTATAATACCAACCTTAATAATTTTGAGTATGTGCCTGAAGATTATGAAGAAGATGCCAAGAGTACAAGCTTGGCTGTTGAATCTGAAAGTATTATGACAGAAAGTGTTAGTGTTATAACAGATAAATTTGACTTTGATATAGAATTGAAACTATTTCTTTTCAACTATACAAGTTTTAATAAAGCATGTGAATTGGCAAAAGCAGAAAAAAGTGAAGATTTCAATATTCTAAAAGAAAACCATAATAATGCTGATACAGACAGTAGTGACATAGTTTCAACTTTGATATTCGATTTTGAACCCAGATTAGATGATGAAAATGAATACCTTGTTGAGAATATTATTAAGACCAATACTAAAACTAGACTTAGTTAGCAATTATTACCTTGTCCAATTCTGGACATTGTTGATAGCAATATTAAATGTTGTGGAGACTACAGTTAGGGATTTTTCAAAGTCGTGTAATGCAAATCATTGCATTTTTAGTAAAGATCTGCAATTCCATAGTACAAATTTTGGCCAAATTTTGGCCATATTATTGACTGCGTTGTTACACTTATGTTATTTAGTGCAAAACCGCCTTATAAAGCCTCAGGGATCCCCAGGGATTCCTAAACTACATAGCCTTAGGATACTTTTTGTAAAAAAAATTTAAAGGATTTTTTAAAACTGATGGTTATTTTCAGATAATAAAAAATGCTTTTGTTTTTTCAATTGAAATCGGGTTTTAGAATACCCTTCTAATATATTTGCAGATCATTTCCATATCGCGTATAATCCTAGACTGAATTCTAGCACCAGGTTATCGTGTAATATGATCTTATTGATAATTAATTTATTAGTATAATGAATATAATATTGAACTGTTTCATGCTTAAGAGAACCATAGGGTGAAGGTTCGTACTTAGACGGATCCAAACAAAGACCCTGTAGAAACTTAGATCAGTATCAGGAGCACTGGTAATGCCGCGATGCAAAGGATCTGAGTAAGACTAAGGTCTTGCTCGTTGAAATTCGAGTAACCAAAGGAACCAAGTGGCAGTGTACGAACGAATGAACGAATAGACAAACGAACGAACGTGTGAACAGACAAACGAATGAATGAACGAACGAACGAATGAACAGACGAATGAACGAACGAATATACGAACGAACGAACGAACAGATGAACGAATGAACAGTGAATGAATGAAGAAAGAAAATTTTAAACATTAATAAGGCACAATAGCAAAAAAAAAAAAAAAAAAAGAATACTTAAAATCATGTAACAGTATTAAAATAGTACCTTGTGCTTGTACAATTAAAGCTGATAGAAAGGACAATAAGAATAAGATCGGTAAAGAAGATTAGATATGTAATGCGAGTTGTTAGATGGTTGAATAAGGGTTAAGCTATATTATCCAAATAATATGAATACTAAACACACTGAGGCGGTACAAATTGTAAAAAAAAAACTTTTTTTTAAATAATATTTAAGGTTAGTTCATCATCCAATGTATATTGTAAAATAATCGATTCATACCCTTTCTAAGTGATTAAAATATTTGATAATGATGTATTGCTTTTAGACGAGAATGTCAATATGGCATGATACTTTTGAGAATGTTAATCGGTTGGGAGAGTATATAGCACGATAATGGGATTGTGTGATCGATAATGTAATGAAAAAATGTTTGTACAAAAATTGTAATGAGATAATGGAAAATAATGAAATATTGGTAAGTAAAGGGTAATTAGTAGGATGTTGTTGCGCTAAACGAGATTGGGGAACTCTAGAATCCACATGTTGATGCATAGAAATGTGTTTAGAAGTCAGACTGTTTGGGAACCTGATAAACTGAACAATATTAAGAATAATAATTAAATGTCGGAACATACTAAAAAGGCAGGATACTTAAGTTCAAGAGAAGTGCATGCAGATACAGTATATTTAGAAGAAACAGGTCCGTACAATCAAATCACACACTTCATTTTTATAAGTATTTATTTAGAATGAGTCTATCTGAATTACGTATATCAAATATAACAGATATTGAATGACGTGTTGGCGTAGGCACATATGTACGTATTTGAAATAATACGATGATAAGATAATATACAGGCTATTATGATTTTGTGGTATATAAAGTAGTCTATAATGACCTGAGTTGCTTTGCTCTTATTTTTTTTTCTTCCTATTGTTATTGATGTCTAAAATAAAAATTCTTTGTTTGATAATATCTTTTAGAAACGCATAGCGAATTGGAAACTTTAAACGATGAACTAAACAAGCTTATGAAGTTTATCATACTAATAATTTAAAGGATGATAGTGATAGTGACGATGATATAGATAACAAGGACAAAAGTATAACATCTGAAGAAGGTCAAGAAGATAATGTAAATGACAATATAACATTCGAAGAAGATCAAGAAGATGATATAAATGATGTTTTTACTTCAAAACAAATCGAAGAGTTTAAAAAAATTTATACACTTAAACCTATACAAGCATCTATTAAAAATGAAAGCAAGTCTTCGACTAGGTTAGAAAAACAGGATGATGAGGCTTATTTAAAAAAATTACAAAATCAATGTTGTCAAAAGCATTGTGTTACGAATATTAATGTACAAGAGGCACTTAAGCATTATCGTGAAATAAAAGCATTGTCTCAATTAGAAAGTAAATTTTGTTTTTTTAGGAATGTTAGATGCCAGTGTTAGATTCGGAATGTTAAATAGCGGAGCATCAAAAACATATTGAACGACCAATGGTATAATAGAATGGATTTAAGGATTAGTTGTCTCCCTTTTTTTTGCTTTAAATCAGCCGTATCATTATTTTTATGCTAATGTTAACGGGATCAAGTTTTAGTACGCTAAATATAAAAAAACAGTACAGTCTCATTGAATAAAGGCTGTTATAACTTTTTATTTATAAGTAGCTTATTGTAATTATTTTTCATATTTTGTTTACTTTTATAATTGAAGAATTATAAATGTATATTTTTTATTTCTTTAAAAAATAGAATAAAAGAGTCAAGAGATGATATATCATACAATAACCTACTCTATTTAACAATAAACTATTATTAACCCTGAATCTACCGTCAAAATACATCCTGTATAATTTTAGTTGCAGTTGAAAGCTAATTTGCGCATGCGTAATTCCAAGTTATAATAATCCTCTTTATCTAATAACAATGTAGTGCCAGGTTAATACAATATTAGCACTTTGAAATTACCAAAAAAATAAGGTCAATTCTAATTTAAGACCCGACGTAATAAGATCTAAGCATAAAAAAAGGCTTACTTATACTGCTGAGTAGTCGTAAAGACATATAATAATTCAAAGCTTAGTGTTTTGACAAAATTTTGTAAAGGGACGGATCCGTTTTTTTTAGTTATATAGAAATCAAGCAAATTTATCTAATAAATTTGCTTGATTTCTACCGACTCAATTTTTTTTTGATTTCGTTTTTAATATAAAATACTGTCAGTAGAAATCAAGCTTGATTTCTACTGACTCAATATTTTTTGATTACCGATCATCCGATGTAGACTGATTAGTACTAATTAGATCGGATATTGTTTACTATGTGTGATACAAAAATTGGATTATCTTCAAATTAGGATTTTACCGATTTGCTTGATTTCTACTGACTCAACCCCATATATACTTTTTTCGCTCTAGAAGTTATTTTACGCAAGTTTACATCAATAACATCAGGAAGGAGCGATTTGATTTCATTATATACTATCGTTCTTGCCGATTGGTCATCAGTATTATTCACAGATTTAACATTACTAACTCGATTTTCATACGCTTTATAATAGCAATACCAGCACAAACTTTCCTTAACTATATTTTGCGATGTAACCTTACCAGATCCCGTTAAAATCGATTCTAAAGCAAATTCGGGAATCTGAATATCAAATACTTTATTAATATTATGGTTATTATCTTTGGTGCAAATAAATAGCTCGAGTCTTAAACCTCGTTCTGCTTTTTGATTATAAGGAATTTTCTGATTAAGCAATAGGTTAGTAGGGGAAGCAGAGCTTCGAGTCTTTGACTCATCTTGATCGTTCACGGTTTTTAAGTCATGTGATAATTGGGCAGCATCGACTTTTTCTGATTCTACTGAAGGTAAGCTTTGGTCCTGAAGCTTCTTTTCCCTATTTTTCTCTCTTATCATATTACTAACCCTTTCCTTTTCTTTTTGATCTAGAAACTCATCGATCGTTTTATCTTCTAAAAATATGGGAGTATTATAAGAATTTACTGTAGACAAATCAGAGATAAGCTGTAAACTCGAGAATTCGTCTCTTCCCTCTGCCTGTTGTGAAATATTAGTAACAGTTTTTTCTTTATTTCTTTGTTCTAAATTCGTGATTCTGATTTCATGTTCTTTTAAAGTTTGTTTTAACTTCGCATTATTAGCTTTAACTTTCATATTCTCAGCTTTAAGTTCTATATTCTCGGTTTCAATTTCAGTACATTTCTTTTTAAGTTCAAGTATTTCTGCGTTCTCCTTCCTAAGTTTATCAATCTCGGCTACAAGCTTATAATTCAATTCTCTCAACAAGTCGTCTTTAGATTGTATGTTTGCCATTTTTTATATAAAACACAGATATATTCAATTCTTTTATATATTTTCATCGAAACATGCATGCTACATAAACAAAAAATAAATAAATCCAAAACACATGACTGCGTAAAAAAATTCTCGATCATAGGCGAATTAATATACATCGACAACAATAAATAAAATAAACTCACGAAATACACATGCAAAAGTAAACGCGATTATGTATGCGAAATCGGTCACCAGGCAGCTTTATTAATATCGTGTATTTTTATATCAATAAAGTTTTTTTAATTTGTATATTGTCATTTCGCAACGATTTTTTTTTCGTAAAATAAAGCAGGATTCTAAGAAGTGCTATTATTTTGAAATATAGCTTTGATAGTTGTATGTGGTAGTTTATTGTATCTAGTTTGCCATGAAAATTTCGATCAATGTTGGTGACCGATTCCATTCATAATTAGCACTATCTCAATATAAACACCCTAATAAGCAAATATTCTGAGTTATTATTTATTTATAAAGCAAATTAATTTGTAGTTTATTAATATATGTATATGTATATGCTAGACAACTATTATTCAATGTAAGTAGCATATTCTGGAGGTACCCTCATTGACTGTTGTTTTTGGTTGTCCAAATTAAGAACTTCACCGCCATTATACCGCAATTCATAGTTCATAACCCAAGTTATCATGTAACTTTCAGCACCGGCTGCCACTATGCGTGGTACATTTGTATTATTAGTCAGATCTCTGAGTGTCATCCCGGCTGGAATTCGGATGGAATTTCCTTGACCATTTGTAAAATAAATTCTTGCAACGTTTTGATCGACTCTTTGGATTTTTACTAGGATATTATTATCAATAACGATAACATTAATGGTGTCGTTCTTGTAGGAGAAGCTTCCTCTAAACATAGTAGGCAAGAGGTTGGAATCTGTTTTTTCCATTGTTTTTAATGATTATTATATTTTTGTGAGAAATCGTTTCGGATGAGAAATGTTAAACAAGTCCAAAATTTTGTGATACACGTACCGGTAATCAAAGCTATGCTTTATATTAAAAATTATCACGTGAATCAAATGACCAGCGACTAACAAACTGGGCTCCGACAATTGATAGAACACTTCTTCGCAAGTAAGAAATATTATCAACTTGCCTAGTAAAGAATTTTATTTTTATGCGATCCCATACTCTCAAAACAGTTTAGTGAATACATGGCACAGTAATTGCTTACATAAAAATAACTGCGTAAAATTTAATGTCGCGGACAGAGATGTAAATTGGATCGGCGCAGTAGGCGCAGTGCACATAGATTTAAATTTGCGCATATATCAGTGCTCCCTATATATAACGCGCGTATAAATTTTTCTTTGTACATATTTTTTTTTGCATTTGCACCAATAAAAATTTTTAAATTTATAACACTGGTCGCGGATGATCATGAAATCCGGATCATCGTGAAATTCCAATTTTTAAAAATTTTTGGGGTATATTTTTTTAGGCTTTTTTTTTGAATCCGGACTAGTATTTAGGGTTAGGGTTTATAATAAAAGAGTATAAGTAGGTTTTGTTAGAGTTGTGAGGGCTTATATTTTTAAATTAAGGCCCTAGATTTCACGATGATCCGATTTCACCATAATCCGTGACATTTAATAATAATACATTCAGTGCTAGCTAGCTAAGCTTATGTAATGGGAACGCACGATTCGTGACAGAAGTCACATAATTACAGGTTGGTATCTCCGGTATCCTTCCTGCCAAAGTCACATTCTTGATAACACTTTGAATTTGATTAATAGTAAGGCTTGAAATGTCATAAACACTGAAAGTAACCTGCTTAATTTTATCTATTTCCACTCCGCCTTCTCCAAATAACATATGGATTTTTTTAGCTCGCAGGGTTCTCATATGCAAGTTTCTCAATGTGATTCCAGGTAGATGCTCTAGCATTTCTTTGTATATTTGTTATCTAGCTGTTTTATCTGAAGCCCCAGTGTCATGGTGAATCTTATCAACTTTATTTTCAAAACTATTTGAATAATAGAGCCAAGATAAGATCATCTCGTGTGCATTCTGAAATAAATGGACTAAGTTTTGCATCATATCTAGAGATGATGGATGTGACATCAAAAATGTAATCTGCCCTGCTTTAAGGGACTCCTATATCTGGAACTATTCTAATACATGTTAATGTTAATGAATATCTATTACATGGCAAATTATGGAAAATTATGTATTGATTCTGATTTATTTTTACTAAACATTAGTTATTTGAGAATTATCATTATTACATTTACATCACTTATATATTTTATCTGCTACTTTTTTGCATATTTTGCAATATAGATATGAATGGTGATTGCATTTGTCACAGACCTTACATCCATGCTTCCAACCTCTAAAGATATGCCACTTTTTGATTTAATTTTGTTTGTTTTTATTTGTAAATATATTATTCTGATTTTTCATTACTATATATTATTAACAGAAAAAAATATGTAGTTAAATTTTTTTATCATGTGTCTTTCATCACTGGTTCTGTTATACAAACCAATATGTGACACCATATACTTGTGCACCATCTTACAAATAAATTAAGCATAAGCCTTGTAAGGCCAAGACTCTGCAGAAATTCTTTAGCATAAATTGCACAAATTATATATCTATGATATTTATATATTTTGCAAGTGATTTTTGAAACAATCACTCAAATAAAACCTTATAAGAAAATATGAAATTTGATTTTTAACAAGTATACACAAAAAATATGTAATTTTTAAAATAATTAATGCCTACTATTAAAACAAATTTTTTATTAATTTTGGTGGCTTAACATATTTTAGCTGTTCTGGTTTCACTGACTGATCAATCAACCAAAGTCACATGATTGTGGCATAGTAAAGACGATCTTATTTAAACTCCTCTTCTATAGCATTAATTTCGTCTCAACTTATTTTAGAAATTCTCAATGCTGAATAAGATTTACCCATTGTATTTTATCCTCACCTATGCTACTAAAAAGGTTATAAATTTTCCTTGCTCTTTCTATTCTTTTCTCAATTGCATTTTTCGAGAGGTTAGATGAGAGCTATTTTTCAACTTCTTTATAAAGTTTTTTCTGAGATCTATGCTCTTTATTATCTTTCTTATACTTGGCTAACCTTTCCTCAAGCTTTTTTCCAAAAGCAAAATAGCATATAATAATTTCTTGATTCACACTTTCAATTCGTTCTTCAGTCTTAACAAGTGCACTGTATAAATCAGAAAAATTACTTGGGCTTGTGATAGATTTAGCCTGAGAAGTAGTACTACTTGTTGAAAAACTTGGCAATTTCAGCTCCTCAATAAGTTTTTTTAACATAGATACATTTCCGTCTTTAGTTTTTACTTTCTTACTAGATAATTTATTTTCAGGTGTATCTTTACTAGGTTTTTTATGGGATTTTTTTTCTAAAGGAATAATGCTTTGGTCTGTTGGATGATTACCTTCACTATCTTCATTATCATCTATATCTGACATATCTTCTTCTATAATTTTTGGCAAATCTTGAGATTGGATACTATGTTTTTCTATCCTTCTAACTACTGATGATGTACTTGATTCAGAGCCCCTTCTATGCCCTATTTCAATAATTTCAACCTCCTCACTACAACCAGAAAATGAACATGTATTTGGAATTGTAAGTAAAAGTTTTTTTTCAATACAAAGCTATGAAACACATGTCTACAAGATAGTATTGTAAATGCCTTAAGAGGATATGAAATAATTTTTTTTCCACATTCTGAACAATTACTTAGATTTGGAATTTTTTTACCCTTAACAATACTATCTTTTAGAGTTTTTAAAATACTATATGCAGGATTTTTGATGTTATTAATAGGAATAAATGGTGCAGAAGTAGAAGTGGTAGACATATTTCAATTATAACTAGATAAGTTTTACATAACGAAATTCCTTATACTTAGCTTATTTTATAGTATATTCTTCTGACTAAAAAAAATAATTTTAGATAATACAAAGTATCGGGCTTTAACTCTACTAATTTTGGATTTGGTGATCAGTTCATTCGCGAATTGTTAGTATAGACCAGAATTGATCGATCTTCACTAGCTATTGTGAATGATTCACAAATTATAGGTGCAAACTTCTATTCTTATTTTATTCTAACACTAGGAACATTGAGTAATGCTAATTCAAAGTTTTGTAATATGTATTATACTAAAACTTTTTGGAAAAAAGTAAAGAGATTAATTATTTATTGATTGCAAAATTAATATCAAACCTGTCTTGCGATCTATCTATTTTTTGTCACACAGAAGTACATACATTGTAGCTTAGCAAAAAATCTTCTAAGCTGATGAGCTATATTATAAGTTGACATAATAACTATTTACCACTTCAGAGTGTTGGATTAGTTAGATTGGTAGAGTACCATTGCTCAGCCAAAGAGCATTGTGCTAATTCTTGATTAAGAAATGCAGAAATAAAATTATTATTAGCACTACCATTCTGTCTAAGAAAATTACTAAATGTGCTAATAAAATCATTTGGGCTATCAGGTGAGTCTATAATCATCAGAGGAGAAAGATTATTATAATAGGTAACTTTTTCTCTGACTCAGAACTAGATGATTTGGACTTTGATTCAGTTTCAGAGCTAAAAGACTCTGAATCAGAATAGTAGTAATCTTCATCAAAATTTTCTATATAAATATTTGGATTTAGCTAACCCATAGTTTTTTTGCTAATATTTTTGCACTTTTCAAGATCTAGAAATTTTAAACTGAGACATGAATGAGCAATTTCTTTAATAGTTACATTAGAAATTTCACAAAAGCTAAGGTTAAGATGCTGGAGTTTTGGGCAGGAACAAATAACATTACAAATTGATGGTTCGCTAACAAATAAATAGCAACTTAAATCGAGATATTCTAATTTATGACATGTATGGGCCAGCGCTTCAGTAACCTCATTGCCAATATCATTACTACCAATCTCTAGATATCTTAAATTTGGAGATGCTCTAATGATTGCTACAATTAATGCATCATTATGAAAAGCCATGATACTACTAAAGACAAGAAACTCTATACTAAGATATCTCTGTATTAACATACTAGCATCTTTGATTTTCTCCTTGCTAAATGCAATATCAAGATTTCATAAATTTGGGCACGAGTTTATGATGCAACATATAGATTTATCTGTGATTCAATATGCTTTAGCAAAATGGAACTTTTGCAAATCATGACAATTTTCTGCGATTTCAAACAAAGATTTATCAGTAATATTTCTGCAGTACAAAATATTTAGATGTTCTAATTTACATGATTGTACAATTGCACATAAGCCTTTATCGGATATTGCTTGAGCGTCCTACAGATTGAGATATTTCAAATTAGGATATGCTTCTGCTATTATAGATAATGCTTTATCGCTAAAACCTATGCGATCTTTAAAATCTAAATGAATTATATTTAGAAAGGTATCCACAATACCTTTTATTTTGTTATCCGATAGTGAATAGTAATAAGTAATTTCTAGATGAGTTATATTCAAGACACAAGCTGGCTTATGCTTTTCATTGGAGTGTGCGATATTCTATTATTAACAAACCTATTGAAGATCATATATTAAATCGTATTATGAAGAATTTTTTCATAGCCTGTGATTTTTCCAAAATTTATATAGTAAAAATGCATTTTTTCAAATTGCTACTTCTCTTGCATTTTTAAAAATAAAGATATAATTTTTGCTTAAACTAATAGAAAATAAGTTATAGTTTTATGATATAGAAAGCTTTTTTGACTTTAAAATGGTCAATCATGCAAAAAACTCTTTTTTGCACAATTGATCATTTTAAAGTCAAAAAAGCTTTCTATATTATAAAACTATAACTTATTCTCTATTAGTTTAAGCAAAAATTATATCTTTATCTTTAAAATTG